GGGGGGGGGGGGGGGTGGTAGTTTTAGTGTGATTTGGCGGGTGGTTTGGGGTTGTGGTATGTGCCAAAAAGTCGGGTTGCTGAAGAGCCCCGCCAAAAGAAGTCACATGGTCTGGGTTCAGAACTTTGTGTCTGTGTGTTTTTGCGGGGTTTTGGGGTTCAGGATTTGTGCATGTGTCGAAAGTAGGGCTCCTCTGGAGCCCCGCTGAAAGAAGATCCTTAGTGCTAGTTTAGGGTTTAGGGTTNNNGGTTTTGGGGGGTTTAGGGATTAGGGGCTCGAAGTCTATGAGTAATACCTGTTTTGGGTTTTGTGGAGCCTCAGGATTTCTTGGAGGACCCCAAAAAGGGACGTTCATCTTGGTTGGTAAGCAGTCTCAGCATCTTGCCCAATCAACCAGGTCCGGCCCCTTCAGCTTTGGATAGCCAGCCGCCTTCAATCGCACATGCGGATGAAAGCACAGGCTTGCCAGTCGATTCCAAGCCACCCTAAACCCCAAACCCTAAACCCTAAACCCCAAACCCTAAACCCTAAACCCTAAACCCCAAACCCTAAACCCTAAACCCCAAACCCTAAACCCTAAACCCTAAACCCTGGAATCTGTTGCCAAGCTCCGAGGATGAGGATGATGAAGCCAAGATGTTGGACTTGCAGCTACCCAGAAAGAAGCTCAAAAAGGAGGTGAAGGTGAAAAAAAGAAAGGAGGTAGGGTTTAGGGTTTAGGGTTTAGGGTACATCCTTCAGGAAGAACATGATAAAGTGTCCCCGCATAGTATAGAACTGGGATGGGACATGTTGTTGATACTTGAATTCTGTAACCCTAAACCCTAAACCCGAATTCTGTATATCCTTAGCAGACTATGGTAACATATTTGTCTAAGGCATAAGGTACTTAGGGTCAGGCAGGATATTTTTATATGACGTCCCATATTCCGAACATTGGGCCACATGATTTTGTCGGTTTTTTTGTCCAAGCCCTGAACCGTACGATACGCAAAGGTTCCTGCCTCCTATATCTAAACCCCATGAAAGCCCCGCAAAGCCTTAGCCAAAGCCATATGATTCTGGGTTACGTTCAGCTCTGAACCCTGACCTTAGACCCCAAACCCGAATCCCTAAACCCTAATCCCTAAACCCTAAACCCCAATTTTCCTGAAACCATAAACCCATACTCAAGCCTTCAATATCCCTATAACCCCTTAAGTAGTAGTTTCCATTTTCTTTTCCATGATCCCTATATAGCTTAGGTGGACCCCCCACCCAGTAATAGTGACTATAAGGCATAATGAGGATTATATTCGGGTCCTGTTATATTCCTAT